TTAAGTGAAAAAGGTGACATGGAAGATAGCCTACAAAATAATTTTTCATAAATAAAATGTCCCAGGCATATTTTGGTAGAAGAAAGATCTGCTGGGGTACATTTCATAACTAGGAAAGTGGTTATTTTAGGAGTGAAACCAGGTAAGGTGGAAGGTGAGGAAGGGATAAAAATGAACTTTTACTTTATTCTGATGGCTACAAGTTGTTTACAGTTTTCTTTTATATATAATGAGCTAGTTTCGCTTTTGTAATAAACAGGCTAGAAAAACTATTTATGATCTTGGGCTGTAAAACATTCTAAATCTTCCAAATGCACGATGCTTTCCGGACTCAGTCAGAGATATGAAGCCAGACACTGCCAAGCTTGCTTGCTGTCCTTGCCGTGTGACCAGGCTTTCCCCCCTTAGCCTTCTGTCCTTCAGCCTTTAGCTTGCCCTGGGTTCTTCCGTATTTTTTTCCCCCACAAAACACGAAAAGGCAAGGAATCTTTCGCAATCAGAACTAAGCTGTGGTCTTTTGAGTCCTTAAAATAGCAGGTAGCAAATTATAATGCATTTTATTAAATTCATAATTGCGCCAATATTTGTACATATATTAGAGCAAACATGTTACTCATGGGAGACTAGTTTTAAGAATCACATCCCTAAAAATTAGCATTCTGCAGAGGGAGTTTTCCCCTTTGTTCAAATTTTTCCAACAAATAAAAGTTCCTTCTGCCTCACGTCCCACTAAATAAATATACATCCAGTAGGAAGAAATTCTCCATTCCTTCAAAATATACTTTTATGCATGTTTAGTAATAGGAATTGAATCCAGGGCCTTGCACATGCTAAGTAAGCCTGCTACCACTGAGCTGAACTCCTCGCCCCCAAAATACTCTTTTTAATTAATTTTAATTCTATCAAGAGTGGTAGTCAGGTGGATACCACAAGCCAGGCAAGTCAGAGATAGCATTATAGAAACCACGGCTGAAGGCTCTAGATAAATGACAGGCAGCATTTAGTCTTTGGTTCTTATGCTTGATTTTGTGTTTGTTTTTTGAGACAGAGTCTCACTCTGTGGTCCAGGCTAGCCTTGAACTCACAGCAGTCCTACCTCCCTCAGTCTCCTGGGATTATACCACACCTGGTTCAGACAGCATTTAGGAAGCAAGAAGGAAGACGGGAGCAGAAGAAGAAGACATTTACGAGGAAGGGTAAGGTCAAATGCAGAAAATAGGATGTAAGGTAAGAAAGCAGGCAACGCAGTAAGATAGGTCAAAGGGAAGATCCAACTAGGTCACAGGATCAGTGATAGGAGCAAGCAGTAACTAAGCAACGTACTGGGGTGAACTCTGATACCTGTGTTCTTTAACTAGAGTTTGTTTTACTTGCTGGTAAGAGTGCTATGTTTTGGAGTCAGATGTTAATTGTTACGAAAAAGAAAAATCAAAAGCCTCCTCTTTATTAACTCTAGGGCAGATACTGGAATTAGCTCCCAGATGCTGGTTGAAGTCGCAGCCCGAGTTCCATTGCAGATCTTGAAAGTGACTTCTAAGGAAGTCATCATAGCCTAACCCTTTTATAAAACGGATTGAGAAAACTTTTCCAGTTCTCAGTTGAGGCAAGAGGCCAACCTCCTAATGAGTTTGATCAGCAAACAGGGTTCAGAAACAACACATTCCATCCTTTGCTTCTGCTCAAACTTCTAAGAGCTGGAAGGGGAGGTGTGAGCCTCCCACTCACCACTGTGTTATAAACCCTGTGCGCCTTAGCCAACCTACGAAAGTGGACATGACCTAAATCCATCAGCCAATTTGTTCTGGGTTCATTTGTCTTCTCCCTTAACCTACAGACAAAAAACTCACTGCTCTAAAGAAATCTGCTTTCAGATCCAAGTTCACTCCTTTCACACTTCCTCCTCTTCCCTCAAAACCAATTATTTGCTTTGAAGTGGACAGAACGATGGGAAGTGCTATTTTTTTTAAGTCGGCCCCATCCAGCTGCCTTTCATCTCTGTGAGTCTTATTCCCTTCAGGCACCAAGGAGTTTCCACACACCACTCTGTCTCTACCAAGACAGGAATCTAAACAGCTTTCAATCAAGTGTACACCAAAACCCCAGCATCTCCAAGTCCTGGCCCAGTCTGCTCCACTGCAATGTGACTTTCCACCAATGAACAAATGATTTCCAAACAGTAGACTATGATCTAGTCACAGGTTAAGATGTTTGAAGAACACAGAATAGAAACGGTAATAGAGTACCAACAGAAACTTGTTTCAAATACACATATACTTACGTCCTGGGTCTCAAAATAACATGCATTTGCATTGCTGTCAACCAAAAATGCTTGAAACACTGCTTTAGACAAGTCTTTGTCATCCAGTCCACCTCCCCCCTGTGACACTAGCCCTATTGTTTAGCAGTTCTTTTCCTCCATGCTGGCTCAAACTCTGAGCCCACTTTCAGTGACCTTCTTCACTGGCTATTTTCAAAAACTGGCCTGCGACTGTGCACCAATTCATGAGCTCCTGCTCATATACCCATAAGACTGTATTTTCCTCGAACAGATCAATGTTCTGTGCAAAGAATCACTGTTTGCTATTTCTGCCTTATCATGCTTTCTTGGGTCTGGGATCTGCTCGGAGCACATCCAACTGCCTCGCCAGGATTAACAGTCCTTGGAACAATGGGACTCCACTTCTTTCTGCACTACTTTGCTCCTCAACAAAGGAAAAATACAACATTGCCAAAGTCACTCATGAAATACCTTAGGCATTCTTAAAAAATTAGCCTCATTTTCCTGATATGGCACATTCTTTGGTATAATACATTCCAGGGCCTAATAACCAACACAAGGTAACAGTCATCCCTACTGTTCAGTTCAGCCAGTTTTCCATCCTGAAAACAGATGGTTACTCCACCTCCATATTGCTGTCTTCGTCTCACCAGGCAAATGGAAGGAGGGAAACACAATGAGGTGACTGTGGCAGATTGGTGGGCTCCTTTCTTCTCTCAAGGACAAGGGCACAAGCTGTCCAACACAACCCCACTCCCAAGCCTGCACTCTCTTGTCCAAGTGTCCACGATTCTCCCCCAGGCCATTAATTCATTATCTTCCTCAAAAGAAACATTACAGTTTTCTGTATCTCAGTATAGTCTGTTTGGTTTACTCTTCTCAGGCAAACTAAGTATCCCACTTCTTAACCTTTCAAGAGATACTGAAGCTTAAATGAATCCTTCTTCTATAATCTGTAAGATACAGCACACTAATTCAGAAGGGACAGAGGGAGATACAAATTAAACTGCTCAGTTTCCTCTAAAATATGTAAGGTGAACTTTGAGAAAGCAGCACAGATGATAGTTCTTCTCTAGAGCACCGAGGAAAGATGGTAAAGAGGTCCTACAACTGTAAGACAGCTGCTGTCTTGCTAGGTGACAACAAATACTCTCAGAGAAACGGACAAGAGGACCTTCAAACTCAGATATACTCTAGAACCTGCCTTAAAACTGTACCTCTCAGTTGTTGCAACCCAGCTGTCTTCCCATTTTCCAGTCAGGAATGTAGGGTTCCTTACCACCATATGGGTTATCTGGTTGTAGGGAGAGCCGTTTAGGCTCTTGACTCCTGCAATTGGCATTCACTCCAAATAAATATAAAGCTTTAATAGTGAAGAGCCATAATTCCTCCCACCACAATAAAGAAGGCTTGCAGAGAAAAGAACAAAATAGAAAGCAAATAATAATGACTAAGCAGCTGGGCCCAAGGCATCCAGCCTAGACAGATAAAAACTCATGCAAGATGACACAGTAAAGATTCAAACTCTGGAAGGAGGCAATGGGGCAAAAGGAGCAGCAGGGATAGGGAAAAATAAGCATCCTCAAAATAAATTATTCTCTGGGTCATTATATGGCATTGGAAATGAGGTAGGGGGACAAATGAAAAGCCAGGATTCCTCAAGCCATTTTTCCAAATTTTCTAACATGGCAAGGGTATGTGTTTCCAAGTTAATTGTATCTATACAGTTGAAGCTGCGAGGGAAACTGTCTACCTCATGTACAGAATACGTCAAAGGGAGCTGCGATTCTTGAACTTAGTAACTTAAGGGCCACACAAAGGTGAGGCTGTTTTCCATCACACACCAAGTGCTCACATAGCAATATCTCATCTAAAAAGACCCCCAATCCAAATCACAAATGACAGCTTTTTATCTAGTGCACAAGTCAATCCCCATTATCTACATAAACTCTTCCTTCTTGCTCTCAAAGCTTTACTTTAAACATCATCAGAGTTCACTCTTTAAGATCAGTTCTACAGTTTCATGTAAAAACGTGTATATTAATGCTCAAATACGTACAATTAAGAAATCAGCAACTATGATCTTTAAATACACTCAAGTGAACTCAAAGTGTTTTTCACAGAGGTTTTCCTACCCCTGTGACTGTCTTGAGACAGTTGGAGGAAACGCTGGCATCGCAAACCCCATTTCCTGGCTGGGTAAACCGAGGCACTCTGTTCAATAAATTTGGCAGGGATTACAGCGGCATTTCTCTCTGACTCTGCACTCAGTCCCTTTCCCACTAGACTCTTCAGCACTCCGTGGCTAAAAATGGGACCCACTTGAGAACTACCAGGGTAAATAAAAGCTACAGTACTTGTTCGAGGAGGAGGCGGGGGTGGGGCACTTGATGCGCCGCATTGTCTGCGCGTCTCTAAAGGGAACGCGTTCCCCGGAGCACAAAGACTGCGCCCACCCGCTGGAGCCCAGAGCCCGAGGCAGCGCCGGACGGGCGGCGAGCCGGAGCCGCGCGCAATGCGGGGCGGCGCGGGCCCGGGACAGCGCTGGCCCCGGCCGGGCGGGAGGATGCTGCGCCGCCGGCACCTGCGGGAGCGGCCCGGCCCCCACCCTCGGGGCTCCCCGCCCGGCCCTGGGGCGCTAGGCCGGGGTGCGGAGCCGGGAGCGCGCCCGCGGTGCTCGGGCTCCCCGCCGCCCCCTCCCAGCCCCTTCCACCCGCGTCACCTGTGCCGGGTCCCGGGCCGGGCCGGGAGGGGGCGGCGGCGGCTACAGGCGACGGGTCATCCGGCCGGGCCGAGGGCAGGCGCCAGGCGGAGCAGCGCGAGATGCTCGCGGGAGCCGGGGACGCGGCGGGCTCGGGCCGCCTGGAGAGCAGGGGCCGAGGCTCCACCGCCGCGCCGCCGGACTGCGGGCTCCGGTTACCGCAGCGCGGCTCCTTAAAGGGGCCGCGGCCGCCCGAGCTCCGGCTCGGCTCCGGCTCGCCTTCGGCGGCTGCGACCCGGCCAAGGTGGGCGGGGCTCCGAGGCCGGCCACGGGCCCACCTCCCGGCGCCGAATGTGGGGCCTGGGCCGGGGCCGGGAGCCCCAGCACCTGCGGCTGAGGCCAGGCGCTGAAGTCGCGCGTCGCCGCGGGCAGGCGTGTGGCGCCCGGTCTGTTCCCAGCGAGTCTCAACTCGGGAGCGGGCAGCAGTGTGAGTCCGCCTCCGCAGGGTCAGCGCCGGCAGCCACCTGGCCACAACTCTGGTTGGATTATGACTTGACGTTCTGCCTTTTACGAGCTTAAGTACTTGCGTTCATGAATAGCGTGGTTTGATCATCAGAAAGCAGATGAAAGGGCAACTACTGGGTTTTCCTGCCACGTCTGCCTTGACCCAAGTTGTGTCTGGCCTTTGGGGCTGCAGGTGCGTCCCAGACTGGGTAGGAGGCCTGTTCTGTTAAACAGCCTCTCCCAGAACTGCTGAGAAACACCTTAAAGGGTGCACCAGCACTCCACCGACACCCGGAACTCCTCTGCTTTCGGGTGTGGAAGTAGAATTTACATTTTTGATGCTGGCTGAGACTCTTGGGTTGCCCCATGCATAGTTTGCCTTTAAGTGGATCTTTTGAAGAGTCATATGAACCCTCAAAAATTTCCAAGTGTTCTGGTCTACCAGATAAAATTGGTTGGAACAAAACAATATGATGGAAAAGTATTTTAGGCTTTTGTTTATAATTTGTAAAAATTTTAAGCATAATCGCAAAGCTTTTTTTTTTAAAGAAGTGAGTTCTAAATAAAAGAATTTCTAAACGCCATCATTAATAACACAGGACAGTTATTTGTGAGAAATAGCTATCAAGAGCTAACATGTGGGGCTGGGGATTTAGCTCAGCGGCATAAGCGCCTGCCTTGCAAGCAGGCAGTCCTGAGTTAGATCTCTGGTACCGATAAAAACGAAAAAGACAAAAAAGAAAATGGAAAAGAAAAAAAAAAAAAAAGAGCTAACATGTGACGCTCCCATAGGCACACACTTATCTGCTGCAGATCTGGGCCACAAAATACACACTCAAAACATCACACACTTTATCCGTGTTTCTTTTCAGTGGGAAAGCAATAGAATTAAAGTCAAATCCTGAATTTTGTTCACTTGTTTTTTAGAGTTCTACGAATTTTGTTATTTGAATCTCACTGGGGCTTAATTTGCTTATCTAAAAACTGGAAATAATAGTTACTCTTAAGTTTTGGCAAAGATTTTTTTAAAACCTTCAGATTAGCTTGGAAAAGACAAAATTTACACTGCCCTACAGGGACAGAAAATGTCCCACCATGAAGCAGGGAGGATGATCCTTGAGGACCCCAGTGCACTCTTTTCCTTTTTCTCCCCAAGAGTTTCCTAACATACTAGGACAGGTGCTTTTCCCACACTTTTCATCACACTTGCTTCACACAACTGTCTTATGCACTTTGGTTCTTTCCTAGAGCTGCCTTGTGCACTTTGCACAATTATTTCTCCATGAGCGATGCAATCATTATGTATCGCAAACATGTACTAATAAAAAATAAAAACTAGAAAAAAGTAAGTCTCCATGGTCAGAGGATGATTATATGTGAACATCTGTGGGGTCAGCCACAGATGTCAGTGTTCTCGGCCCCTTGGGGGAGGGGGCTGTGAGAGGTTGATGCCACAGATGGTAAAAAGAATTTATCAACAGTCAAGAAATACAGGAAAATAAAGGGTTTATTGATACACTACAAGGAAGCAGAGAAGGATGCACAAACCATGCCTGGAAAATAGCATGGACCTTTATATTTGGTTTTAAAATGAGGAAAGGAGTATAGGAACATTATTGCAGAAATGCTTCTACCAGGTCCTGATGATTTTGTTCACCTGTCTCAATTTTGAGGCTAGACAAATGTTTGAAGACTGAGTGGTACCTTGACAGGGCATAGAGTTCTTGGCATTGTTGTTTTTTAATCCTTCTGAGTAGGTTTAGCAGATGTATATAAACTAATCAGAGTTATTGGTCAAGGGCTTCATAAAAATATATCTTTGTGCCAAAAGGGGACTTTAATATTCTATAAGGACAGGGGAGGAAAGGGTATTTATTCTCTAGTACATGGCAAGGGACTAGGACACCTAGTGGCATATGTGTGATTCTTGCAGCCTGTTGAAAGTTAGTTTTACTAGATTCATCGCTCAGCTGTAATTTAGCCTAAAACAAACAACAGTAAAATAATATGATTCCTCACATGGTCTCAGGAGTCTAAACAGGTCTACTTCCTACAGACACTCACCTGTGCTCAACAGTGATGGCTGTAAGTGGCTCTTCTTTGCTGATAAACCACCATCATTATCTTTGATATACACAGTTCTCTAACATCAGCCTTAACTCAGGTCAAGTAAACTCAGAAATAAACTGTATTCTATGTCCCATTATATTCCTTCATATTAGGCCTCTGAGTACATCAACAAACAACAAAGTGTTTTGAGATTTATACAGAACATGTAAGTGAATATAACAAGATCAAAGCCTGAGATATAAAAGGAATTCAGTAAATACTCGTGGAATGTTAAAATTGTTCAACTAATCAAAACTTGGGAATCTAAGAAGGCAGAATGTATCAATTGTGTATTTTTTTGAAATTTTAAGTGTAATTAAATTTCTTTAGAAATAACAATTTCATTATTCACATTTAAATCTTTACTTTTTTCCCCTCCATACTGGGGGTTCAACCTGGGCCTTCACATTGCACGACATCCTTAACCCTGTTTTAAATATTTTAAATTTTGAAACAGGGTCTCGCTAAGTCACTCAGGCTGGGCTTGACCTTGCCATTCTGCTGTCTCAGCCTCCCAGAGTGCTGAGAGCACAGGTATGTGCCGCTCAACTGAATCTTTATTCTCAACTCTGTTTTACCAGTATTCCTTCTCCAAGGATGCTTCCTCAAAATTCCATATTTGCTGCACCCCTTCTCCCCCACCTCCAGTATTTTTACCCTAACATCCCACAGTCCTACTGTGTTCTTTACTTCCTAATTGTACCCTTGGACCAATTTGGTTTTTTTGTTTTTTTGTTTTTTGGGGGGGCATGGGGGATCAAAGTCACAACCTTGTGCTTGCCAGGCAGGCCCTTACGCTGCTAAGCTAAACCTCCAGCTTTTAACTTTTTTTATTTTTTTATTTTTTTTGTAGACAAATGTTCCTTGATTTTCAATTTTGGACATACTTTTTTACGTCTGATCATGGTGTTTCAAGAGTTAGCTAGCTCTTTTACACACCATCACCTCTCCCCTTTGCCTCCACCCTTGACACAACAGTAAACAGTAATTAGGGTTTACATCATCATAACAATGTAAATATATATGATACATTGCTGAGTCAAAGCTATGATAATACTTTACTTGAAAATTTCCTGTTTTTCCTGGAGCTAATAATAGTCTTGTTTTCCACTTTTAAAAAATATATATAACCTAAATTTTATTCAGCTTGTTCAACATATCAATCAAATGTGCATTAATACCTTTCAGTGCCCACACATGTGACCTTTAGTTTACACTCATGCACAGACTCCTTGTGGCTCGCTCAGAGGAGGTACTTAGGAAGGAACTATTAACGTACTTATTTCCGTGGCTGAAAATATCTTTATTCTGTTCTTATTCCTGATTGATAACACAGGTCCAAGTTCATTTTCCCACAGCACCATAAGGGCTTTGTTCCCCTGTCTTATATTTCAAGTGTTATGATTGAACTGCCTTTCCAGTTCCTCTGTTTCCCACCAGTTTTTCTTACTAGAATCTTGCCATCATACCTAGGGGTCTGCAATCTCACAATGGTGCATTTTTTCATAGATCTTATTAAACATTCTTATCTACAGCTATCTTTTTTACTTCTTTGCTAATGCCTTCTCTTCCGTTTTCTATATTCTCTCTTTGTGGACTCTTGTTAATAGGATACTAGAACATCTTATTATTCTCTAAATGTATTGGTTTTTGTTTGGTTTGGTTTTTTACCAAAGTGACCATCTCTGCATCTGTCTATTGCTGAATCAGAGGTTCTCAGAACAGAGAGAAGTTTGCTTCTCTGTCCCAGAGGGCACATGGCCCCATATGGAGGTACTTTAGGTTGTTATCCAGGGAAGGGAGTGCACTGGAAAGTCCAGACCAAGGTTGTTGCTAATCATTTTACAATGCACAGTACAATCTTCCACCACAAAGAATTCCTCACCCCAAATGTCAGTTGTGCCACGATTGAGAAACCTTGGACCCAAGAAATTCCTTAACTTTATAGTCTAAGCTTTCTACTCCAGTTTCTATTTCAAACATAGTTATCATATCCAGTGGTTGTTTCCCATTTTTTATTAGCCCTTTTGCTATAAAAACTCTTTCAAAGGATAAACTCCTGTCTTCAGAAAAGAAACAGCTGACATTACAGAGGGATCACATTGAAGCTGGCACCATTAGTGCCTGAGTGAAGACTGTAAGAAGTGGTGAAGGGACTCAGGGATTTAAAGGCTGAGTGACCCTCGACTTCTAGGCAATTCTCCTTTTCCCTGATACATGTGTGCACATGCACGTGCACGCACACACACACACTCTGCTTGCACAGTACACTACACCTTTGGGTGCCTACAAACACTTACGTTATCTCCTTTCTTGCTTTGCCAAGCCAGTTGTCTCTACATTATCCAACTTGCCAAAATTTATTGAAATCTCTTCCTTGCCTCCCTCCACTTAAAAAGAGGGAAATTACAAATATTCCTTTAAATGAAGCAAAATTTTCCAATGCATTTGTTTCCTAAATCTCTTAAACTTCTAAATCAAATCAACTGTTCTCTTTATCCTTGTAGCATAATCTTCTAAACTGTTTTTGTGTACAATCATTTTAG